CTTTTCTTAGTTTGGTCCAAACGATAGCGCACACGTTGATTATTCTATTGTTATTCGCGTGTTAGCGGCTCAGATTAACTACTGCATGAGCCCAGAGCGTTAACTATCTCGTGGATAGTTATAAGGAGTTGAGTGGGGATGCGATGGACACATTAGTGTTGGTGAGGAATATGTTGTTTTTTGCAATTTTTTTTTTTTTTTTTTTTTTTTTTTTTCTTTCTTTTTTGGTTGATGCATCTGCTTGCTCTTGTCTTGCATTTACGTTTGAAAATCTTTTTTGTAAAGATATGTGTATATGGTATACATGTTGGGATATAGGTTAGACTTGCCGTATGTTTAATATCAGTGATTTTAGATGTTATATTTTTGACTCGAAATATTGTAGACGGGTATCAAAAGAATAGCCACATCCCTACTCTCTTCATCCCCCTTGCTATTTTACCTCCTCTCTCCCCTCCACCAAAGCGCCTCCACAAGCCTCTATAACCCTGCTGCACATCCTGACCTTCCTCAACCCCATTCACACCCTCCCGACCCAAATCATACCGATCTGTAACCAAATCCATAACCCCTCTCCTCACAAACCTCGTCCTCTTAAACACCTTCCAAGCCAAAAACATCCCAAGCATAATCGGAATCTCGATATAAAATGACACAAAATCAACGACCTTGAAGCTGGGACTAAAACAACTCCACCCCTGCACCAATATAAGCACGATATTCAACCCTGCCGCGACAATAGGGCCGTACGGATATGTCCAGTTCTTGAAGGGCAAGAGGTGCTCGAGGTTCTGGTGTTTAATGGCGGAACGGAAACGTAGCGAGGATATACAGATGCAGGCCCAGGAGAGTTGGTTCGAGACGCCGACGATATCCTGCAGCCAGGACCAGAGTTGTCCCGCGCCGATGTAGCTTGCTCCGAAGCAGAGGCCGCTGATTAGGGATGTTGAGAGCACGGCTACCCAGGGGATTTGGAAGCGGTTGAGGTGGCCGAAGAAACTCGGGGCGTAGCCGTCGACCGCCAGTGAGTAGAGGAGGCGGGAGCCAGCGAAGAGTGCGTGGTTGGCTGCTGAGATGGCACTGGTCATCAATACGGCGTTAATGAAGCTTCCTGCGACCGCGGAGCCGACTTGTGTGAAGACGATTGTGAAGGGGCTTGTGGCGGTTTTGCCGTCGGAGAGACCCGGGTAGGTGTAGGGGACGTTTAGGGCGATAATGATGATGGAAACGATGTAGAAGAGGATGATCCGCCAGAAGACATTGCGGACGACTTGGGGGAGGTTCTTGGAGGGGTCTTTTGTCTCTCCGGCTGTGACTGCGATGGATTCGGTGCCGCCGCTGAGAGTGTCAGTCAATCGACCTAAGTTCTCGAATGAAATGACTTACTAGGCAAACGAGGCCGTGACAAAGACCGATGCAAAGCCACCAATTCCACCGACGAACGGAGCATCGCCAGTGTAGAAGAATTTGTCTCCGATGTACTTGTGATCCGTATTTCCACCACAATTGACAACAATTCCAATGATGATAAAGATCTTTCGGGGTTAGAATCGTCTTCCATCGTTCAAAGATGGTGAACATACCACAATAGTCACGACCTTGAGCAAACTGAGCCAATACTCGACCTGTTACAGTTAGTTCTGTTCTCTTGACCCAGAGGAATGGTCTTACCTCTCCATAAACCTTGACGGACAAGACATTCAACGCAATCACAACCACGAGGAATATCAAGCTAATCGCCCAGCCCGGAAAATTCTCTGTCCAGAATTCAAGCAACAGCTGCAGCGCGATAACATCCGACGCCGTGGATACGGCATCATTGAACCAGTAGTTCCACGTCAACGCAAACCCAAGTGCATCATCAACGAACCGCCTAGCATAGTTAGCCAACCTCCCCCAGATGCTGGCATAGGCAGCTCACCCCGCAAAAGTACAAAAAGACCCCGCAACCGGAACAAAAGCCGCCATCTCACCTAGACACAGCATCGTCACAAAGACAATCCCCCCGCATATAGCGTATGCAATGAGCATCGACGCCGGCCCACCGGTTGCCAATGCCTTGCCCGTTCCGAGAAATAAACCAGTTCCAATGGTCCCTCCGATAGCAATCATTTGAACCTGGCGGGCCGACAAATTGCGGGCCAGTTTATCCGCGTTGACATGATTGCTGGGGTTGTGGGGATCCGGGGAAATTTCCGATGTCTGTGGGTGCTGCTTTTCGACGTCGCGGACCGTCATTTTGCCTGGTGATTGGAGGTGATGGGGTGTCAATGAATCGCATGCAGGCCCTGAAAATCATGGTAATTATGTCAGTTGATGATTTTTAGATATGCGCGATAATGATGAAGGATTGTGTGGTTGACAGCGATGGTGTCAGATCCGGTGGAGATGAGGAAATCCCGTCTTCGGGAAGGAGAGCATGTGACTGGTAGTCTAATCTTGAGAACGGACAGTTCCGACTGAATACATTATGATCAGCTATTAACAGTAGCTGGCAACCCTGATTGTAAGTTGAAGAGTTGAAGTAGGGCTACGAGTAGGATATCTGCCAGTACCACGGTTCACAACAACGGCATTGAAATATGCAGGTACAGCTTTGCCTCAGTATATAGATCACTCAGCATATACTCCGATCCTTCGGGCTATACCAGATCCTTCTATCGCCGGTTAAGGGTCCAAAAGACCTGGCCAATCGGGGAAGAATGCGGTCTAGTCTGATCTCGTTCCCGATCAGGTCCAGGTCCACCTTCCTCATTTGGATTCTATGGTGCATACACAGTAAACCGGGTGCTGGTTGCCATTGGTTTGAGAATTGAACTTGGAATTCCAGATGGCATATGGAAAGTTGTAAACGAATTATTTTATCTATGTACAATGCTATGGAACAACCAATGCTGAGATATCCTTTTTCGCTCGAACAGATAGAAAACATTCGACATCGACATCGATATCGACATGAACAAAGTATACGAAGAAACCAACCATAAAACGCACAATATATACCACAAATCACCCAAGCAATCCACTGGCAAGCGCTTCCAAATCCTCCAGTGTCTGGACCTTTTCTGGCTCCACCTTCTTGTCGGATTTTTTGCTCTTCTTGGGCCGAGGCTCTTCCTCCTCTTCGCTCTCGGATTCGGCAAATTGCACACGCTTCTTGCTTGGACGCTTCTCCTTTTCGTCCTCCGCATCTTGATATCTGTCGTCGTCGCTGTAGCCACCGAGGTCCTCCATGGGTCCGACGAAGGGCAGTTCCCCACCAGTCTCGACGCCCATTTCCTCCGCCTCGAGCTCGCGCTCGCGAGCCTTGCGCTTCTCTTTCTTCTCGCGCTTCTTCTGCTTCGCCAGTGCCTTGTCCTGGATATCTGCCTGTTGCGTGCGCTCTGCCTCTTCGGCAAGGAACTTGGCCATTTGATCCTTAGCGGCGCCGCGGGCCTGGAAGTCCTTCTCGTCTTCCATTTCGTAGAGTTCGTGTGCGTTGCCTTCGTCGTCGTAGATGAGTTTCGTGCCCTTGCCTTTGAATTTGAGGAGTTTCTTCTTGGATTGGAGGAGTTTTTCGCGGCGTTTCGAGTCGATGACGAGGGGGTTGTCTTCGCGGCCGTCGACGTTGACCACCTTGACGTCCTTGCCTTCTCCTCCCTCATCGTCGGAACCAACATCCAGATCCTTGTCGCCGGCTTCAAAGCGGCGCTTGACGGACAGGAAATCGTCATCTTCGTCGGCGTCAGCGGTAGCGGACTTCTCACCAACAGCTGTGCCGTCGTCGTTGATGAGCCTCGAGTAGTGACCCGCCAGAACATCCTGGTTGCGACGCTCGAACATCCGATCATACTTGGTGCGAACCTGCTGTTCGTCCTTCTTCTTCTGCTTCTTCTCTCCGCTTTCGTCTTCGGAGCTTTCGTCGCTAGACAGATTATTGAGGCCTCGTGGGGCGTTCTTGCGGTCCTTGGTGTCGTCTCCCTTGATGAACTTGATACGCGGTGCTCCAGGTAGACCCATACTGCCCGCAAATTCATCCAGCGAAAGCTCCTTTAGCTTGAACACTTCCTTGTCTTTCTGTAGGTGGATCGACTTCACGTAAGCAATGAACGCCTTTTGTCCCAGGTATTTCAATTCTGGATCCTTGAAGCACATGTTCTGTAGTTGATCCTTGATGCTCTGTTGTTTGTTGGCTTTGACGTTAATCCGCTCCACCTTGACCTTCTTCTGCTCGAGTCGCTTCAACATGCCTGCTTCCTCACTGGGCTCCAGGAAAATAACGGCGCGACCATCACGTTCGTACCGTGCTGTTCGTCCAACACGGTGGATATACGTATCAGAATCTTCCGGACAATCCAACTGGATGACCCAGTCCACAGCTGGGAAATCCAACCCACGTGCCGCAATATCCGTAGCAAACAAAACAGCCTCCTGCGCTTGCGCAAACTTGGTCATGATATCCAGCCGTCCTCCCTGCTTTTGTCGACCATGAAGATGCATCAACGGAACACCAGGCTGAAGATGCCGGAAAGCCTCATAGACATACCGCACCTGCTTCCCTGCCGACATAAACACAATCGTCTTCGTTTTGAGATTACTTCGGATAAAACTCCACAGAATGTCCAGCTTCTGCGGAAGAGGTGTAACGACATAGTGCTGCTGAAGTGTCGACGGCGTCGCGGAGGAGGCCGCCTCATGGACAGCCACATATTCCGGTTCCTGGAGACTCAAACGAGCCAGATCCGAAACCTTTCTTGTCTGCGTTGCACTGAAAAGCATAGTCTGTCGCTCCTTGGGGATATGCTCGATGATCGCATCCACCGTGTGCTGGAAACCCATATCCAGGATACGATCTGCCTCATCCATCACAAGCATCTGCAAGTTGAAAGTATCAAATAGCGCCGTCTGATCCAAATGCTGCAACATTCGACCCGGCGTGCAAACGAGAATATTCATCCTTCCTAACCGCTCCTGTTCCTCCCGCAAACTCTTCCCTCCAATAACCAACCCCGCCGAAAACGCATGGAACCGCCCGACTTTGCGAAGCACCTCGAAAATCTGAATCGCCAGTTCGCGAGTCGGCGACAGAATCAAGGCGCCCAATCCATCGTAATCCGTCCACTTCTTGCGATAGAGGTTCTCCAGAACAGGGATGAGGAAAGCAAGGGTCTTGCCGCTACCGGTTTTCGCGGCACCCAAAATATCCCGACCTTTGAGCGCATGGGTGATCGCACGAGATTGGATATCAGTAAGCGTCTTGTAATGCGATGCAGTCAATCCGGAGGCCGTAGGTTCAGAGAGAGGGAGATCGGAGAAAGTCTTGAACGATTCCTTGATGTCGAGTTGTTCGACCCGTGAGACAAGCGACGACAATTCTTCCTGTCCGCGCTTGCGCTTCAGCGTCTTGTCTTTTTGCTGCGGTTTCCTGAGTTTTCCAGGAGCCATGATGATACTCTTCCTTGCCCTTTTGGTATCCTCTGCTTTGGAGAAAGGTAAGATAAAGTGAATAATTCCATCGGCGGGCGGTGAAGCAATTTTTTCGACCGCCCACCTGCTGACTCAGCCCCCGATAAGATTGGCGCGCTTCGGCGCTTATCTGCGCTTTCCTCTGCCGACGCAACAGACTCCAACGTCTCGTGTGGTCTGAATTGGAGTTCTACGTCTCAGAGAGCCATTGACAATATGCCAGATGAGGAGCAAGATGCATTGGATGCGCTGGAGAAGGAAGCGTCCGACTTTACCAAGGTATGCACCAATAGACCGTGGTGATATCCCGCCAGGAACAGGGACTGACATGACTACAGGACGCAGAGATTGATCGCATTCGCAAGGCATTCCAACTAGACGCGTGAGTGCTACGCCTACGTTTATCTAGTTCACTACTGACAAGTTTGACCTGAACAGATACTCCGTCCTAGACCTCCAACCCGGAGTCACCGAATCCGACATCAAAATCCAATACCGCAAGAAGTCCCTCCTCATTCACCCAGATAAGACCAAGAACTCTGCCGCCCCGGATGCCTTCGATCGTCTAAAGAAAGCGCAAACCGCGTTGTTAGAAGAGAAATCACGCACGTACCTAGACGAGTGTATCGCTGATGCGCGACGGCTCCTTATCCGCGAGCACAAGTATACTCTCGACTCTCCGGAGTTAAAGACCGAAGAATTCAAAAAGGAATGGCGACAGAAGACGGTACACGTGCTATTGGAGGAAGAAGCGCGACGCCGGCGACAGGCCAAGGCGAAGTTGCAGGAAGAAGGACGGGAGCGGCGCAAGGAAGATGAGGAGATTGAGGAGCGGAAACGGAAACGCGACTCAGATAAGGCTTGGGAAGATACGCGGGAAGAGCGAATATCGACTTGGCGAGATTGGCAAAAGGGGCGGAAGAAGAGTGGTGAGGACGGAGAGGGCAAAAAGAAGAAGAAAAAGATGAAAGTTCTGGGATAATCGACTGTATTCTTTATATTCTTAGTAGCGACTCGGCGTTAGAATGTTTTTTATATGAGAATCGTTAACCACAAGCCACATGTTCATATCTCGTAGAATACCCTAAAGAGTAATCGGCCGCGGCGCTGATTTCACGGATGCGGGGCTAACGGCGGCTTCGGCGCCCAGAAGATTCTCTCGCAAAGAAACCTGTCATCCTGCGTTCGCTGCGATTCTCCCTTATCTGTCGTTGTCTTGGGACTCTTATATCTGTTTATTCTGCTTGACTCACTCCTCATGTTGCTGCTATAGAATTCATGCTGTCCTCCGCCTCCATTGACACATTTCATCACCGCCCCTAACCTAACCTCCGAGCAAAGAAAAGACCAGATACAACCGGACACTAATTCGATCCGGATCCCCAAAAGAAACAGAATGACAACGATCACCAACACCAGTCCAGACAGCAGCAGCGACAGCATAACGTTCCCCAATTCCAATGGCACCGCACCTCTGAATCAACCGCCTCAACCACAACCGCAACCACACTCACAATCAGAGAACTCGATACCAGAACCACCACAGCAAACGCTACCGCCCCTCTCCACCGTAATCGCATCCCTTCACACCCGCATCCACCTCTTCCTCTCCGAATCCCATCCCCCAGACTCTCTCCTTGCTGCCGTCCAGCGCCAAACCCGCACCTCCCTCGACGTCTTCGCAACAGCCCTCTCCCAGTATCCCCTTGCGCAACTCTCCCTCTCATACAATGGCGGGAAAGACTGTCTCGTGCTCCTTGTTCTCTTTCTCGCAAGTCTGCATCCCCATCCGCCTCCCGAGGAGGGTGGGCTTGTCTCGATCCCCGCTATCTATGCACTACCGCCGGACCCGTTCCCGGATGTGGAGGAGTTTGTAAAGTCTTCGGCGAGGGAGTATTATCTTTCAATTATCAAGTATACGACGGATCCGCCGCGGACAACGCTGAGGTCGAGTTTTGAGGATTATTTGGCGTTGAATCCGGCTGTGAAGGCGATTTTTGTTGGGACTCGTCGTACGGACCCTCATGGCGCCAAGTTGACCCATTTCGATCGTACGGATAGGGGATGGCCCGACTTCGTCCGTATTCATCCTGTTATCGATTGGCACTATGCTGAGATCTGGTCGTTTATCCGTCATCTCGGTTTCGAGTACTGTTCTCTCTACGATCAAGGCTACACCAGTCTCGGTGGCACCACAGACACCTACCCCAATCCTATATTGCGTGTCGACGGCTCGGAGGAAGGGGATACACGCTTCCGACCTGCCTACGAATTAACAGAGGACTTGGAGGAACGGTTGGGCCGCAATTGAATCCTGAAGGCACCGTAGCGAGCTGGATAAGGCTGTATGCTAGATCGTTACTGAGTACCTGCAATGGAATTGGTGTATCTAGTTGTGGGCGTCACCGCTGGGTGATTCGTCTTATATCGGATGAAGTAAGAAGCATACCATGTTGACTAATTGCATTTCTTCTGGGGTACAAACAGGAAAGACATACATCAATAGACAGATAAAGAACAAGATAGCTCCTTCAATGTCTTCTCCGACAGTATCTATTAGTGGATAACAATGGTGATTAACGTCAAACAAAAACAATGGAAACAGGAAATCAAATTCGAAAACAAAGAAGAAATCGGCTCACAAGAAACAAAAGGCAAATGTAACGCTCAAAAATATATGACTGTAATACAGCAGTTATCATAAATCGAGTAAAAAAGCGGCATCTTTCCCTGTACCGGAACGAACTGATGCACAACGGGGAGAGCGGCTTGCTTATAAATACGTCATGCTGACGGGAAAGTATATTGGCATAGAAAAGTCGTTTCAAACAAGCGAACGGGGCGAACACACAATAACTTCCTCACGGGAAGAGGACGGCGACGTAGACCCAGACCTAGTGTGCTGCTTTTGAGGACTGCAGGATTCGGACTTGGACTGCGGCTTCGATTGGGAACATGGAGTACTCGGAAGGATGGTCTTACCAGAGCCAGTGGAAATGTCGGTTAATCCGTTGCGGTTCACAGAAGTCAGCCGTCCACGGTAAACCGGAGTATCCTCGAGGGCATTAGGACTGTTGCGTGCCGACCGAGGATTGAACCGTGTGCCGCTTGCGGGGTTTTTCACCAGAGCGCAGCTGCTTCTCTTATCAGTACACTTAAGACCCAGATGTCAGATATTTCTGTATACGTACGACGGGGAAATTGACGTTGCGGGAGTCCAAGTGGAACCTACTCCGAGTGGCGATGCATAACTCAGCTGGGAGTTAGGGCTGATATGAGATGCGGTCTGCCGGAGACGATGCAACGAAGGTGACGGGGTGGAACCCTGAACCACCTCGACCGAGTAACTATACTCTCCAGCACGATAGGCACGACGCTCGTTGCTCTGATGTTTCAACATCTTCTGGGCCTTCGTGTCTGCGAAGCGAAGGAGCAGCTTCACACCATCTTCTGCAACCACGTTATGGAACTCGCCCAAGACTTTCTCTGCAATATCTCGCGTTTCGAAGCTAGGATGGCGTTAGCTTATTGGGCATGCTTTGGATAACCAGGTCGATGGTGCCTACCGTGCAAAACCGACTTCCTTGCTCACTCCGGTTTTCTCGTCACGGCTGATCTTTTCAGAAACGACGCGGTATGGTTCGAAATGAATGCGAAGGTCCTCCAAGAGACATTCCCAAGTTAGCACATAAATAATGATCGATGGAATTTTGGTTTGTTTACCGCTTCAGTCCAGTCAATCGGAAGGTTGGTGCAATAGATGTTGGTTGACATTCTGTCTTCGAGATCTTTGAGCCGTGAATTACGGGATTTCTTTGCACCACGTTAGTAGTCTATCGGAGAATGAGTCATTGTGTAACCTCACCTGAGCGAAGCTAGCTTGGTATCCGAGGTAGAAAAAGCCTCGAATGCAGTTCTCGCAAGATTCGAAATTGAAGTACTGGACGAAGCCGAACCTGCAGACTTGGGATCAGCATCGACCAGAGCAAAGAACGGAGAAGGTGTATACATACCCTTTGCAGAGACCAGAATCCAAGTCCACTATTGCTTTGCAGCGGTCAATCTTTCCGAAACGAGATGCGTAATCGTGCAGCATCTCATCCGTGGTCTCGGGAAGGAAACCACGGATATAGACGTTCGTGATGCCCTCACGATTTTCCAGGCATTTAGCCAGGGTCATCTCCGAAGGATTGGTCCACATGGCAGGAACGGCCCGTGGGATCGATGGCTCCTGTTGCGTCAACGCCTCGAGATCCTGTAAGGCATAACCGGTTGGAGTCTTCATCATCTGTAACGGCAGACAAGCTTGACCCAACTGTTGAGGGATGCTGTATGGATAGTTCGGGATATTGGAACCTTCCACACTGGGAACAGTGGAATTGGCGTAGTACTCCGGCTGGGCATCAGAGGATGCTGGAGCAGATGCCTTGCTTTCCTCGCTAGAACCCCAGGAGTTCTTCTTTTGGCTCGTCTGGTCCTGGACCTCGCCGTTCACCAAATACGGGAGAGGGTACCCCGGCATAGCGCCCGGGACGATGGAGCAGCCAGGGTTAACATTTGGGTACATTCCAGTGGACAAATATGGGAATTGGCCCAGCTGTTCGTGCCCAGGAAGAGTAGGAGCAAAAGAAGGAACTTGAGGCATGCCATTGAACAAGGTTCCATTGGCAAGAGCCCCGTTGGGAAGATAAACAAATTGACCATTGTACAGCGTACGAGGTCCAGAGAGATCAAAAGGAGCCACTGGCAAAGGAAGGTTGCCTTTCATGGGACCAAACTTGGCACCCGGACGCTGGTTCTGGAGGCCGAGACCAGCGAAGAGTTGTGGGAGGGTCTGTCCGCTGGCATCACGGTTGTTGACAGGTGGAATCTGCTGGTAACCCGCAGCGTACGGAGCGTGATTCTCATTCGAGAACTGTCCAGGTTGGCCATTGGAAGCCCGGACGGAGTCAGTAGAGGCATTCTGCTGCTGAGTCGGGAGTTGCATGGTTGCAGTCCTAAATAGAGGATCTTCATAATAGTTAGCCATGTACTCGAAGAAGGAAGTGCCAATTGATATGTGTGGTCTGCCAAAGGACCCAGAAGAAAGAAACGAGATAGGATTGTAAAGACAAAGTAGAGAGGATGTAGAGGCAAACGAGACGTACCACGATAAGACCGGATGGAATAGCAGACTCTAACGAGCACGGAGAACGACTATCTTGATCCGTCAACATCAAGCCAGAGACAGGATAGCCAGGTAGACTCAGAGGGACGAGGTCATTAACTTACTTATTGTCGAGAGAAGTACCAGAGGGAGATAGCCAACAAAAGCGTGGTGCCTTGGATCCAGGCAGTCGAACCTCCAGACAGGAGGACAAGGATTTGGAAAAAGAACGAGAGCAAGAGCTCGATTGTGAGAATAGACAATATGGCCTCGAAGAAGTTTAAAAGAGACAGAATGAGCAGCAAATGCAGCTCTGGCATCAATGGAGATGATAGATAGGGAAAAGAAGACGAATGGTAGAAGGGATACGATGGGAAGAGGTTGAGGAGAGAAAGAAAGAGAAGAAGAAGAGGATGGAGGGAAGACGGAGGGAAGAGGGTTTTTAGAGGCTCGAATACGGAAGGCACAATGGCCAGAAGGCAGGAGCCTCCTGTCCAAGTTAGGAAGGAGAGAGGCTCTTCGGTGGTTGAGAAATAGGCAGTCGCTTGTTTGGGAAGGTGCGAGGGTCGGACTCAAACAAACGCAAAACACGACCATCAGTAAACAATACAATGGATATCGCCAATTCACTTTATTGCTTCAGTCAATTGTAGTTAACTGATATAGGATCAGATCTTCGCGAACGTGGAAGATGTCGCTATCCATTGTTCATTATTCACTATTTACTATCCCGAAGTACTATACACAGAAAAGTGACTCGACCATACTAGTTAGATAATGAAAATATTCGTAGTTCGTAACTTATACTATTGGGATTTTTCCTGCAGCCACTTGTATACAACTGAGAAATCCTTCCCTCGGTGTGCTTCTTCGACATCATTGTATACTCTCTGGGCCTCGTCACCCAGAACGAGCGGAGTACCAGACTCCTTTGCAGCAGTGAGCGCTAAACGCAGGTCCTTGTGCATCAAGCTGACCCCGAAACCACCTTCGTATCCTCGCGATGCTGCAGCAGTCTCGACAACACCGGGAACAGGGTTGTTTACTTCCGTTGGCCAGCAACGGCCTGTAGAGGAGTTGATCATATCCGCAAGTGTCTTCGGATCGAGACCCCAACGAACTCCCAGATTCATGGCCTCTGCGGCAGCGATATTATTTATTCCTAAAATGTAATTGTTGGCGAGTTTCCCTGAAACACCAGCTCCTGGTCCACCGAGGTGCCAGGCTTTCTTTCCCATCAACAACAAGACCGATTGTACCTGCTCTACGAGCTCTGCATTTGTTGAGCATGCGCCGAACATGAAAGACAGCGTACCAGCACGAGCCCCTACCACTCCTCCGGACATGGGTGCATCGACGAAGCGTCCTGCGCGCACTGTGTGAACTGCATTGGCAACTTCTTTGGTTGAAACCGGATCAATCGTGGATGTGTCGATGAACAATCGTTCTTTCTCGAGGGCTGGAAGATCGCCAGGTTTCAAAATGGAGTGGAATACGTTCTTAACGTGCTGCGGTTCCGGAAGGCTGCTAATGGTCACCGTCTGTCCGTAGAGTACAGGTTAGAACCTCTCAACGAGTTGTCCAGTCGCGGATTGAGCCCACTTACCGACTTCTCGGCCACTTCTCTTGCACACCCTGCAATTTCAACCTTGTAAGTGTCTTCCGCAGCACCGGCACTATTCGCAGTCTCGCGTGCTTCCTCCATGAATCTCTTCATAGCGTCCTCGTTCACATCACGGATAACCAGCGTATCTGTTGCAGGAATCTTGGCCCGCAGGTTCTTGGCCATGCAGTATCCTGAGGGATGACGTTAGATTCTGACAAATAGTAGCAGATATGGGGGCCAATTCCCCGCGTATGACTGAAAACATGGAACGCACCCATCTGCCCTAACCCAATAAACCCCCAGCTAGCATCTCGTTTCAGGGACGTCGAAAAATCTCTCGAAAGCGAGACTGGCGACTGCGTGTGAAGAACTGAAGACAGCGATTTAGAAGCGTGTAACCGTCGTAACGGAAGAGATAACCCAGAGGAAAGACTCATTGTGACAACCTAGCGACGTCCGTTCGAAAATGTAGGGAAGAAAGTATGAGTGGAGACCAGGAGACAGAGAATCAGCAGCGAAAGAGTATATATACCGGCCACACCACGATCGTCTGAGCCTCCCGCGGGGACTCCTGGCAACCGCAGTTATCCGAGGCCAGCCCGAATGTGCGTCTAGTGAAGGAAGCGCTGCAGACTACTTTGCATCACCTGACCAGATCGGTTAGCAGCTTCTCCGCAGTGCGGGGAAAGCGGATAGCGGAACGGTCACGTGTGGTCCCTGGAGATCAAGCTTCAGGAATAAAGGCATCAAGGCACCAAGGCATTATAACGGGATAAAAGAGTCCAGTGTGAAAATACCACTCTTTACAACGCAATCTGTACGGAGCAGTCTACGCAGTACTGTCTCTCAAATATTTACTGGTCCAACTCCTCTCCCCTAGTAATACCCAGAAAACTTGCGCATCATTGTTCGTTGGCCAATAATCGGCGGTCCAGTGCCTCCGACGCCGACCGCCGCCAGACGATCTTGTAGCTCCCCTCCAAGCAGACAAATCTCACTGCGCAAAATGACGGACACCAGTGCTACGTCAGACATCCCAAAGAGGGATACGAACCAGCAGTCTTCAGCTGATACTGATAGCGAAGCAGAGGATGTCTTTCACGATGCCCGGTTCCCCGCTGAAGAAGAAGCCGTGAGCTGCAAGCCCCTCACTCGTCCTACCCTCATCCATGCAGTATGCGGAATGCTGACACACAAGTCTTCACTATAGCGTCTCCTAAAAGTATCTCAGACAATTAAATCGGAAGCAAATAAACTGTTTACGTCTGCATGCTACGACCAAGCGATATCCTCTTACGACCGTGCTCTCGCCTCGTGTCCGAACTACCTCGATTACGATGTCGCGGTTCTCCGGAGTAATATCAGCGCATGCTATCTGAAATTGGAGGACTGGAAGGCGGCTGTCGATTCTGCAACAGCATGTCTTGCTTGTTTGGATCGGGTGATTTCTCCCTCCGCACAGCAGGATACTGATAAATCGAAGGAAACGGCCGAGCCCCATGAAGACGCCGTGGTTGAGATATCCGGAGATGACGAAGCGGCAGAAAAAGAGGAACTAGAACGACTGCGAAATATTGATGAACAGAAGCGCAATATTGAACGGATACGAGCCAAAGCCCTCACGCGACGGGCTAAAGCACGGTCCCAACAAGGCGGCTGGGCAAATCTTCAAGGAGCAGAAGAGGACTACAAAACACTTGTTTCCATGGATAATTTGCCACCGGATGACAGACGGGTTGCCCAAAAGGCTCTTCAGGAACTTCCTGCGAGGATAAACCAGGCGCGGGAGAAGGAGACGTCGGAAATGATGGGCAAACTGAAGGATGTAAGTCATGCGATTCGTCTATTCTTGATTTAGTAACTGACTCTGCAGTTGGGAAATGGTATTCTCAAACCGTTTGGGCTGTCTACGGACAACTTCAACTTTGTTCAAGATCCCAAGACAGGTGGTTACAGCATGAATTTCCAGTGATAGCATATTGATCATATTCTGCATTTAGATTTGTGTGCATAATAGCGAACGGGTCTACACAACACGATTAATGCTACCTTGACTGCATATCAATCTTTCTCCCGCGTGTAAATCCATTAAGGACTGAGCTTTCAGTATTCAAGATAATCAACAATATATTTCGAGGATTCCGTAAATACAAATTGATTTACAGACACTATACGTACCTCTTACCCATGATCCTCCATACATCAATACCCCACAGTGGGGCATATCGGAAACCCCCCTCCCATAACCACGACTCCTATTAACGGTTAAATACCCAATGGAGACTATGCAATTGTTCCTTCTCCCTTGTATATAACCTCCCACCTTCATTCTCACTCCACAGGTACCAGTATGGCTGCAACTCTCAAAACGACCTCACTAGGAGAGATCCGGGGCAAAGATGCCGATGGTGCTACACAATACCTTGGAATTAAATACGCGAGTCTAAAGAATAGACTCGCGGACGCGGAACTTGTTGAGAGCCGCGAGGGTGATGTACTCGATGCAGCCAGAGACGGGTTCGTCTAACCTATCCTATTGCTAAATATCACTGACATGAACCTGACAGACCAACTGCCGTCTCCCCTCTATTCGGCTGTGATTTAGAACTGAACGCTATTCAGCACACCCTTCCCAAAAAGGACCTCCAGCAATCAGACGTGGACTGCTTAAACCTGAACGTCACCGTTCCTGCTGGTACCACTGCGTCTTCGAAACTTCCAGTCTTCGTCTTTATCCACGGTGGAGGGTTTATGCTTGGTGCCAATTCGTGGCCTCAGTTCGATTATGGGCAGTTTGCCCGATTATCCGTGGAGAAGAAGTTGCCTGTAGTTGCTGTTTCGATCAAGTAAAACTCTTTTTTTTTTTTTTTTTTTTTTTTTTTTTTTTTTTTTGACCTGGACATAGTTGCTGACTTCTGAAGCTATCGACTAGGCGCTTTCGGGTTCTTGACTTCAGATGAACTCCGCAAAGCTGGATATAATGCTAACAATGGTCTTCGGGACCAGAGAGTCGCACTAGAATGGGTGCAGAAGCACATCCAAGATTTCGGAGGTGATCCAGACAATGTGACTGTATCAGGCGAGAGCGCAGGTGCAGCATCTGTAACCTACCACCTCCACTCCGAGAAACCACTCTTCAAGCGCGCAATCGTCATGAGCGGGAGTTTCTTCCTTCTCCCGGCTTTGCCGTATAACGTGCACGAGGAGAACTACTATCAGGCAATAACGGCGCTGGGATTGGCGAATGTAACACCAGAAGAAAGAATCCGTGTTCTGCTGGAGACACCCGGCCAGGACTTGATTAACAAGCTTCCTCCATCTGTTCGGTTTGTACCTGCGTTAGACAGTGATATTGTGCCTTCTGGTGTCACCTATGCGCATGTTGGTGATAAGGGGGGTAACATGCCCAGGGGCAAGACCTGGTGTGACAGTCTACTCGTGGGAGACACGCAAATGGATGTAAGTTACACCTCTGACCACGCGCTGAAAAGATGTCCTCTGCTAACAACACCAGGCAAGTATCATGGCAATCCTAGTCTCCCACACGAAACAAGACTGCGCAAGCAAATTCACCAACGCCATTAACACCGTCCTATCCTCTCACCCGACCATAGCACAGCAAATCCTGGACAAATACAACATCGCCCCCAACCAACCCGACGAAGAAGCCTTCCCTGCAATCCTCAACTACCTCAACGACCTCCTCTTCTTCGCGCCCACGCTGACTCTAGCATGCGGCTGGCCCAAAACTGCATACATATACTACTTCAACGAGGGTAACCCCTGGGATGGACCATGGAAGAACCGCGCCTCCCACATATTGGACGTGGCATATCTATTTCAGAATTTCCGGGACTATCTCACACCAGAGCAGAAGAGCGTTGGGACGGCTTTTGCAGAGGACATATTCAAATATTGCCACGGGATCGCTCCATGGCCCGCGATCAAACCCGGAGAAACGACAACTGGCTTCGCAGCACGAACGTACGGGCCCAGTGCGGACAATTGCATTGCTGGACAGGTATCAAAGCCATACGGTGAAAAGAGTCAGCGCAGGTCCGTTCTCTTCGAGTATGATGCGGTGTCTTTGGATGATTTGGTGAGGGTTTTTGTAGCATTCACATCATAGTCATAGCAATAGCCACACCTATACTTGTATGATATGACCGCCTTGCATGGGACAGATCTACATAGCGCATACTAGTCGTCGATCTCGGGGACGCATCCATCAGATCAACAAACATACCAGAATGTGAGCAGAACCGGTAAGGGACGAGACCCGGGAAACCACTCAATAAAATTAAAATTTACAAGAGACCGAGATCATGCCTGTCAGCTCACTTTCGCTTCAACAATACTCTGTTCAGAGATATATAAAAGGCACTGATTTTCGCCGGAAATCCACACCGTCAATTTCTCAATCGACCTTCTCCTTTCGGTCTTTTCGCTTACCCCAAACGGGTAAAGACATCATCGTGAAATCCGGCTCGGGACCCGCGGACACCGAGGTTCTGTACATTTCAACATTTTCTTTTTCTTCCTTTCCAGTGCTTATTCTTGGTATTTATATGTCGTGTTTAAGCATTTTGCTTGCATTTTCATGATTATTTATTTCATTCTTGGCAATTGATATCTCCTACATAGATACTAGCTGCCATAACATGGTGGCGACATGGCTTACCCCCGGTAAGGGCACGAAACGTCCTGCTCTGCTGCACTGGCGAGCACATCCAAATTACATTCTGTTTGTGGTCGTGTTTGCGGTTTTTACGGTATGTCGGGTACTATATCCGTGTTGGACTGTGAGCCGTGCTAATGAAATCTAGGATATGTTTTTGTACGGAATGGTGTGTCTATTATTCACTGAGAATGGAGTATATTTATGGGAATACTGATTGATATATATAGATCGTTCCCGTGGCACCTACAGCTCTTCAGGATAGAGTTGGACTTGATGCGGATCAACGTATGCATCTACACTCCGTGCATGGCCTGTTGATACATGCTAACGACCGCAGAACAAGAGTGGACGTCAATTCTGCTCGCGCTCTACGGAGCGTCTCTCTTCGCTGTTTCTCGTGAGTTCCTTCCCTTAAACAAAATATTAGTACTCCATACTAACAACCACAGCATTAACCGGCTACCTAGCCGACCGAATCCAATCGCGCCAATGGCCCCTGCTGTTCGGCCTCGTCGCCTTGGCTATCTCTACGGCCTTGCTCTGCATAGGCACGAATCTCGCTCTCTGGATCACCGGGCGTATCCTTCAGGGTGCCTCTACAGCAGTCGTCTGGACAGCAGGTCTAGCATTGCTCGCTGATACCATGGACTCGCAAACCCTGGGAAGAGCAATGGGGTATGTAGGCATGGCGATGACGCTGGGGCTCATGTGTGGCCCATTGATTGGAGGCGTGCTTTATCAGAACGGGGGTTATTACAGTGTGTATGGGTTAGCATTTGGGTTGATCGGGATTGATATCCTGGCGCGGGTCGTCATGATTGAGAGGAAGGATGCGATTCCTTGGTTCAAGACTGAAGAAGCGGCGTTATCAGAGGACCAAGACCAAAGCCAGGGCCTTGAGCGTTCTTCATCCGAGAAACCACCAAACGACGGCACGGCACCCAGACCAATCGTACCAACCCCCGAACCAGAGCCCGCAGCAACAGAAACAACAGCAGCAACCCCATCAACCCGCCGCTTCGGCCGCCTGCGCATACTCCTCAACTCCTCACGCCTAATGGTCGCTATCTGGACATACACAATGGTCTCATTGACAGTAACATCCTTCGACAGCGTGCTTCCCCTCTTCGTCGAATCAACATTCAACTGGAAACAAACCGCACAGGGCCTAATCTTCATCGCCATCTCAGTACCCTGCTCGGTAGACCCCATTGTCGGCTGGGCCGTTGACAAATGGCCGTGGTCGAGTCGGTTTTTCTGCTCTGGGGCGTTATTCGCGTCAGTGCCGGTGTTGGTTTGTATGCGGTTTGTCGATGAGAATGCCATTGGGGATAAGGTGTTGTTGTGTGCATTGTTGGCACTGGCGGGACTTTGTGTGGCGTGCCTTATGCCGCCGGTTATGGTTGAGGTTTCATGTGTTGTGAATGAGAAGGAGGCTGCTGTGCCGAATGCTTTTGGGGAAGGGGGTGCAATGGCGTTGGCGTATGGGGTTTTGAACTCTGCGTGGGCGGCGGGAAGTATTATTGGGCCTTTCTTCGCGGGGTTTATTCGTGATGATGCTGGTTGGGGGACGATGACTTGGGCGTTGTCGATTCTTATGGGTGTAACTGGGATCCCGGCATTGTTGTTTTTGGGTGGGTTTATTGGGAAGAAGAGGGTTAAGAAAGCTTATAGTGAGGAGCAGGAACAAGAGCAGGGACAAGAGCAGCAGCAGGATAAGGAGCAGGCATAGCTTATGTGTCATGACTGGTATGGTGTTGATAGATTAGACTAATGTATATAATTCATCCACCCTATAATAGATGCCAAAAGTCGTGTACTTTGATCCATCTGAGCAATGCATTGGAACGGTTGTCATTCTATTACAAGAGAAAGCAAGCGAGACTCTTTTATTTTCATGAATGGTATCAACAAATACGGACATACAATTAGAATGGCAACCTGCCACGTGCATGCATTCCCGATCCCAGGAGCCCTATCGAAGGGTGAGAATCTCAACTGGCTAGAGAAAGCGAATTCGTGTATCGGATCACAGGAAATAGTCTGGGGTGCGTCGCGAAACCATGGGTTCACCCGCACGGGGGCTGGGGTCAAATTGCAAGCTGGACAAGTTAGAAAGAATCGACAATAGACAGTGAGTGACAACATACAATGTATACTTGAGATGCTCGTCAATTTCCATGATTGCGGCTTGGTTACCGCAGCGGTAACAGTAGTTAGGAGCTAAATAGATTAGCAATGAATTCTGACCGCTAACCGACGGCGCGAGCTTACCTGAGAAAATCGTGACCACGTTTCTATCTTGCGACCAGTTATAACCTTCCATCACCAGCTGGTGTGCTCGTGCAACCAGAGTCAAGCCATTGTTGTGATTAAATGCCTCCGAGATATCCTGCCCGAATGTGTATCCAGCACCTCGGGGAGAAATGCCCCAGCCGCACCGGTCGTCGGGGTCACTCCACAGCAAGTCACACATGGGTCCCTCGTGGGGGACTTCTTGAATGCGGTCGAGGGAACGAATGTTGTCGAGAGTGTCGATCGAGGGACTCAGACCGCCGTGAAGACAGAAAATCTGGTTCTCGATAAGAGCGGTGAGGGGGAGGTAATCGAAGAGGTCGGTGAAGTATTTCCAGACATTGGCGTTGCCGTATTTGCGCAGGCACTCGTCGTAGAAACCGTAGACTTGTGTAATCTGGCGGGATTCATGATTTCCTCGGAGAATGGTGATACGCTGGGGGTAACGGATCTTAAGACAGACAAGGAGAGTGACCGTCTCCACAGAGTAGTAACCACGGTCAACGTAGTCACCTGTCAGGGTCAGTATCAGCCTTCCTATAAACCTTGAAAAATGCATAAATACCCATAAAGAGATAGTTTGTGTCAGGATTAGGGCCTCCAATACGGAACAGTTCCATTAAGTCATGGAACTGACCATGTATATCACCGCAGACCGTCACTGGGCATTTCTGACATGTGTCAGTTTTACCCTCAACCAGGGCGCTTCCAGCGCTATAATTAATAATAGAAACAGGAATAACATACCACTGGCTGGACGTTCGACTCTTCCTGCAATACTTCTCTTGCCTGCAAATAGAACCCGATCGATCAATATTGATGCCCCATGACCATATCCAACCTCCAGAAGAGAGCAGCAAAACCCACCCGGTCACACAGCCTCCGCACATCTTCTTCCGCGAGTTGTTTGCAGGTCATCAAGCTTTCAATCCAGCCATCGAGTGTCGGTATAGACCCGGAGTCGGTAATCGGGGAGAGGTGGTGAGGTTCGGGCGACCGCGCCGTATCGATTTCCATGGTGGTATCCATTGAGAATGCACAATTAATTGACGAATATGGCGAAGTTAAAGCGGTGGTGGACAACTCTTTTGAGATCACTTGAGTACTTGGTCTGGAGGGAGGAAATGAGGAGGGGCGGAAAACTGGGAGGGGGTTTTTGTTTTTCCTTTCGCGATTACAGGTAGTTTACCCACGAGGGATCTCCGAAAGACAAAGTCCAAAAGAGAAAAAGTAAGTACCTGTCTCTGAGAATGCGATAAAATCGATGGGGATATCAGAGATAGCAATGGGATGAGCTTGGGGCTGGGATAAGGGGATGAAGTAAGTAGTGGTGGTGGTGGTGTGCGAAGGGAGTGTGAGAGGTTCTGCTGGCCGCGTCTGGTTGGCCCGCCCGCTCTTTGGGTCTGAATTTGGGCTGAGGCACTAGCCACACGCCACATTTCCTTTTATTAGAATATTATTTTATTGGGTTTTATTTACAGAGAGGACATTATTACCGAGTGCTAAATGTATCGGTAGAAGCACCATATCAATTTGTCACAATGGTACTGCTATCCGCGCTACTGCAGGTATGCTAGCCGCGCGCTTAAATGATGTCACCGCCAAACCCGCCAAATCCTCCGCCCGAACCGCGTCCAAATGGTCCTCGTCCACTACCAAATGGAGGTCCTCCGGGTCCAACAGGATCATATCGCGATCCCGGAGGTGCCTGGGGATCGTAACCCCCATCGCGACGACGACCACCAAACAAGTCATCGAACGTCGGGTGCATTCCCCCGCCCCCGCCCCCTCCGAGTCCGGGGCCAACGCCGCCTCGTAAAGGATCATTCGGGCCTAGTCCAGGGGGGTATAAGTCCCTATCCCCATATCCTCCCATGTTCCCACCGCCTCCTGTGGGCCATCCGCGAGGTGGTCTGTAGATTTCAAACTCATCTTCGAATCCCGGGGGAGCAAAATCTCCAGCAGGTGCTGGTCGACGAGGGCCCGCTGCCAGGGGGTCGTCAAATGGATACGGACGTGCAGGTTGGGGCTGATTATCATCCCGTAATGGGTCGTACTGTGGAGGTCTCTCCTGTTGTGTCTCTCGCAAGCTCTGAGTGGTATCTTCATATCCTTCCTTGTACAAACCGGGCGCCAGTTTCTGAACCACATTGATTTTGAACAATCCTATCAAATCGTTTAACCGAGACGTTGAAATGAATACTTCTTTTAGGGCGTTCGTGAGATCTGCCGTGGAAGCCAACGGAAGCGAAGACGTGGAGATGTGATCTTTCACGGAGATATCAAAGGACGTGGTCCGGTCATCACCTAGAGCCAAGGCATACACCAGTGCATTATTTCCTATCCGGCTAATCTTGAGTAGATACTGCATGGAAGATTGTGAATGAGCATATCGAAAGGCATAATTGTCGTTATTGTTCCATTCTGTCGGGAGCGAGGAGATTTCTGATTCTGCGACCCGAGAAGATGAGTTAGCCAGCGCACATGAGATGCCAGTAACCTAGAGTTGCAAACCTAGAGTGTGCTCTTCGCCCAGTCCAACAAGCCTGAAGCCAACGGCGATCATGCAAGCATGACCGACGAGAGCAACAGCTTCATAGGGATTCTTGAGACTCAGTTGATCGCCGCCATCTCTGCGCAACGCGCTGGTCGCCACCCCGAGAATATTGCTAGCGCTAAGCGAATCTGTATTTCCTGCCATATTTCTGCGATGTTGTTTGATGGCGAAGAAGTTGCGGAGGATGCATCCAAAGTATCGACGTCAGCGGAGATCGGCCAAATGATAGTCCTAAGCATGCTTGATCCACTAGCCAAACAGTGCAAACAGTGCTACCCTCTGCATTGGGACAATTGGGTATCCTTTGTCTGTCCTTCTATTCTGTGTCCAATACTCTTCTCATAATCGCTACTACCATCAAGATTCGTCAATCAGTAAACGATGCTTTTACTATGATATCTATGGTCTCCTGTTCCTATATATATCCGAATCCTATCGCATACATTGTCAAATATCTCCTAATTTGCCCTATATTTAGAGCTTCAGAATGGCATTGGACAATTTACATAGCTTAGCTGCCTGTGCAGATCCACAGTAGCTTAATGAATCACAACTACTATCAGGCAAAATCGTGCATCGTAATTTCCCCACCAGATCTTTCAATAGCCATCCATTTTGCCCATCATGAAAACACCTACGGTGTGACCAATCCAACGTTTAAAGAGAGACTGCGAGGGACAATTCTTGTTGAAGACATGAGAAAACTCCTTGCGCTCTCGCTTGCTCAAGAACAAGATCACGAAGAAAGTGACACCCAAAGAAGTATCGGATCGCATGAATACAGTTCTGCGCCGTCTCCGCAGAAACATGGAAGCAAGAAATCGCTCATTTATTATCGATCTGGGCAAGGTAATTGACAAGCAGCGAGAGTCACGAAGTCGGCGTTTCGCAAAGTGGTTCTTGCATTGCCTACACTGGAAGACAAGCTCAACGGGATGGAAGTCCACTATAACCAATACTATCCCCCAGAGCAGACCAGTGCTAAAGATATGGATAGGGTGACTTACTGGCCGCCTGTTAATGATGCCGAAAGACGAAAGTTCTTGTCGATTCGGACCCCAAGAGTGGATTGCATGGGAGTTGGCGGGTTTGGCCTCAAGGCAATAGTAAGTAACATGGCCCCAATCAACTATATGAAGTGATCATTAACACCATCCATAGAGGCCGCTTGTCTCGTGCCTTTGAACGCCAGTGTTGAAGGCATCATCACACTCTGTACCCAGAACGGCGAACCACCCAGCGCCTGGGAATTCAAGACGGCACTTATTATCGACCGTACTTCACTAATGTATTGTGTCTATGGGTACACACGCCACCGGAAAGATTATATCACCCTCCCAACTCCCCATTCCCCCAGAGTAAGACAACAAGAAAAGACCACGAGTGGAACTGGCGTATCTTCTACGAGGGCTTTGGCAGAAAGAGAATAGCAAGGTCTTCGACTCGCCCCCAGGATATTTGAATTGGCTGGCTGGATGATATAAGCGGGAGGTGGATGGGGATTTGTCCTTCGCTGCGCAAGTCGATAAGCCCGATGTCATGTTGGGGGACTTTGCAGATACGGGGCGTATTGGCGCTGTCGATACTGAGATTATCGATGACCATGGGAGTGACACAACCTTTCACGGACGACGAAGACGACACCAAGGAGGACGGGGACTAGATAGAGCCCAGGCCAACGATAGATGAATGGACTCTATATATTAATACCTATGGAATGACACATTGCTGGCGTTACTATTGCTTTATGCAACAAGTGCAGGTTTTACTGCTAGCACATAGAATGGTCTTTACATTTCATAACCCGTGTTTTATGATCAGCGACAACTAGGGCTATGCCGATCACTCCAAGAAACACGAGGCTGCATGAACAATAACAA